CTTCTTCCGCGCGCATCCTGACCATGGCCGCTGGCAGATTATCGAGGATCCTGCAGTGAAAAAACCTAGACATTAGGACCGATTCATAAAAAAATACAAAAGAAAACTAAATGATACTATTCGTACATGAAGACGCGATATTCGTCATCGATCTTCTCCTGGAATTGGAGGGCCTCCTCAAGTGGAACCTTCGCCTTTCTGCAGACGATCTTGCACTGCTCGTCGATCCTCATTTGAAACTGAGACCCAGAAATGGTAAGATTCGCACCGTAAGTAGTCGGCAGCACAGCATGTTGTTAAAACACTGAGAAAACAAGAAATACAGACCTGATAGGGAGAGTTCTCAATTCTGTCACCACGCAGAATCTCGCCCAGATTTTCCGCCACTGGCTTAATTCCTTCCTCCGGAAGGCAGAAGGGGAGTGAATAGTACTCATAGGGAAGTTGGGTTCTGGTCGACACTAACTTGTTGACTTTAACAAAAAGTGGATCCTCCTGCTCAGACATTGCGCGGAAGTTAGTGCTGATCCATAAATGCTAAAAAAACTCTAAAGGTCTACGTCGAAGATATTAACCTTCTTGAAGTCTTGAGGAGCCACGCCGGGAAGGTAAAAAGCAGAAGCGGCATTCACAAGTGCCAGCAGGCACACGAAGGCCACAAGACGAGCCATGGCCGCGGTCCCAAATCAGAAGAACCACCTATCTTAGTGAGGCAACACCAAGACAGCTGAAACTCAGATTCAACCTAGATGAGATCTGTGTTGCACCCCCTGTTTCACACCCTGAACACCGAGATGCAGGCGGGAGTTGGTGCTGGATGAGCTCAAGGGGGGAAATCAGCATAGTCTAAGGGGAGATGGGGTGGGGACCAGGGCTGTCGTTTCGTTTTGGGTCCCCCGGACAAATCAGGGGGCCCGGCATGTACGACCCTGTATTTAGCAGGGTTGGGGCGAATCTCGGCCCTTTAGGCTTCAGGGCTGCAATTTATTTCCCTTTGAATTAGGTTTGGTACGATAGTATGAGATAACTACAACAAGCAAAAAAAACCACTAGTTCGTGTCATTTCACTACGCACGCTTAGCAGGCCCCTGGCCTGGCAGCCAGCACTGATGATCTTGTGCACGAGGGTGGGGTAGTCACCTTGCCACTCTGAGGGTGTTTTGCTAATGCTATGCCAATTCATGTTGTGATTGGCGAAGTTAGGGAGAAAGTCCTAAATTGTGATTGCCGATTCATTTTGTTAGGGAGCGAAGTTGTGATTGGCGCAAGTACTAAGTAGGGTTGAGTGAAATTTGGGGCTAACCAGACCCAAATTTGCAATCTGGTCAGGACAGAAACGGGGGAGAGAGGAGATTGGAGGGGTTGTGGGGGAGAGGAAGATGTGTGTGGGGGGCTCAAGAGAATCTGTTCCAGGGCTCGCCTAGAATCTACCCTTAACACACCAGGTCCCACCCCAAAATCAGCCCTGTAAGGTTTCAGGGCCAAATTTTCCAGCCCATCAATTTCAGTTTCCAAGGAAAAATCAGCCCTGGAATTCAAGGTCCAGCAGGGCAAACGCCCTGCAAGCGACAGCCCTGGTGGGGACATGCGGGAGGGACAGTGGCACAGTGCTGGCCGAGGATCCGTGATTGGCGGGAGGTGGTGTTGCGGTGGGATGCGGAAACGCGGAAAGCTGGGTGCGGAGGAGGGGGGAAGGAAGGGCGAGGTTGGAACGGGGGTTTGGGGAGATTTTGGGGGAAGGGTGGAAGGTTGGTGCGGTCAACCAATGGTGGAGTGGAGAGTGGCGGATGGAGCAATGCCCGCCAAGGAAGCCTCCAAGAGTGGATGCGAATAAGTGGGAGGTGGCAGGTGAGACTGACACAACCGCCATAGGAACAATCTGGTGACAACATCGAGAATACATTTGTGGAGAACCAATAATACTTTGCATACACGTTCTCTACAAGCAGCTCAATAACATGCCTTGCATAGAATCTCACTTCGTAGCTTCATTTCTGAATTTGAAATTCTTGAGATAAAAGGCTCACGATAGAATTCTCATGCACCGTTGCCACAAGCGTGAATTCGTGTGTGAGTGTTTTTTTATGACAATGCATTCTTTCCCTTTCCCAAGTTGAAAACAAGGAATGGCTCCTAAGTGCCCTTTTGCACTGGTTTGACTGTCCTTTTATACACTAGGGCTTAGAAAACAGTAATGGCCCAACTTTGTTATTTTCCTTTACCTCATAACACTTCAGAACTGAGCAGTGCTAGCATTACCATATCCTCTTTTAACTGTAAGCTGCACTTCTCTTGGCTTCTCTAATCCTACTCTGCTTTTCTGCGTCTTGTTGGACCCCCTTTCCCGCCATTTTGATGCCTTGTCGACCCCGTATTCCTTCCTCCACCACCCGTTCCCTTGCCCTTACGCAACCCACCAGCAACACCACCACCAGCAGCACTCATACCCCTACCAGTGCCAGCAGCGCCCGCAGCATCAGCAGCAACAGTGGCAGCCATACCAGCACCGACGTCCTGTGATTCCTCTGTGAAGATGGAGAGGCCAACGCTCTCACCCAGATGCACATGAGCTGTGGCTGCCCAAGCACCACCCCCATCATCATCTTCCTCACAATCTGTGTCAGCATCACAATCAGCATCCACATCAGCATTAGCACCAGCTTCATCACCATCAGTAATGCCGTTACTGCGACCTGCATTTACTGTGTGAAGTGGTTTTGGCAAAACTAGGCGCTTCTTTCTCTTCTCAACAGCTTCCATTCCTTCTCCCCTCTCCTCCTTCCCCTCCTCTTCTCCCTCCTCCCCCTCCACCTCCCCCTCCTCTTCTACCTCCTCTCCCTCCTCTTTCCCGTCCTCCCCCACCTCCTTCCCCTCCTCTTCCTTCCGCTTCACTGTTTCCCTCAAGCCCCTCTGCCTGCTGCGCACGTCGGCCAATGAGGCGACGACAGCTGGCTCCGAGTCAAACAGCACGTGGGGCATTGGGGAGGCGCGCATGGAGGAGGGGCGGGCGAGGAGGGCGATGAACCAGTCGGGGGAGACCAGCGCAGGGGAGTTGTGGCGAGAGGGAGCCAGCAGCCGGCGAGCCACAGGGTCTCGCTCAGATGTGTCTGTGATGGGGTGAGGGGGGGTAGAAGGGAGGGTGGGGATGGGAAGGACAGAGTCAGAGAGAAAGCAGATGCAGACAGGACATGAGGATAGGGATGGTGGTGTGGTGTGGTGTTTGTGCTGCTCCTCTCCTCATAAGCCCGAGAAGAGAAGAGGGCAGCGGGGAGGCGTGCATGCAGGAGGGGCGGGCGAGGAGGGCGATGAACCAGGTGGGGTGGGGGAGAGCAGAGCAGTGCAGGGGGGCCGTGGCGCGACGGGAGCGGGCAGGCGCCGGGTGAGAGCCGCCGCTACACAGGGCTGTGAGGAGGAGCAAGTCACGGCATTGCACGCACGTAAGCACACAGCCCACCAGTGCACAAGCGCACATGCGCACAGCCCCACCTGGTTTGAGCACAACCAAGTCCAAGTGCGGGGTGAGAGCCGCCGCCACACAGGGCTGTGAAGCCCAAGTCACACCAGTGCACATGCACCTAAGCACATAAGCACACCGGTGCGAGAGCCGCCGTCACACAGGGCTGTGAGGCTTGAGTCACAGCCGTGCACCAAGAGAATAAGCACACAAGCACATATGCACATATGCACATATGCACATATGCACATATGCACACGAGTGCACATGTACAGGAACACACAAGAATACAAGCACACACGCACCCGACCCACCTGGCTTGAGCACAATGAAGTCAAACTGCGGCGCGAGAGCCGCCGCCACACAGGGCTCTACGGCTCGAGTCATGTCCGCCCCCCCTGCTGTGAGAATGCGGTGCAGCACGTCCTGTATGTGCACACGGGGTCAAGGGTTCAAGGCACTGAATTCAGGGCTTAACGGCTTCAGAAGCTATGATGCGCATACCCGCTGCAGCAGCGGGTGTGGGCGGGCGTTCAATTCGCTGCTGCCCTGCGCACACCCGCTGTGAGGGTGCGTTGCAGCATGTTCTGCAGGTGATTCAGCCATGGGTGCCAAGGGTTAAGGGCTTAGAATGTAGGCTCTGAGGGTTTAAAAGTTCCAGGGAGGGACTGGTAACGCGCGTGGCATTCGAGTCTCAGCCGCCCCCCTTGCTGTGAGCATGCGGAGAAGCACGTCCTGCAGGTGGCTGTTTAAGAACAGTGTTGGGGGGAATAGGAGGGAGGAGAGAATCGAGAGCCTTGGGGTGAGTAGAACAGTTGTAGCACTCAAGCCGCGGCCAGGCCCCCCTGCTGTGAGAATGCGGTGCGACATGTCCTGCAGGTGTTTGTGCTAACAAGGAGATAGGGGCGATGATGGTATAGAGAGACTCCAGGAGCAGAGAGGAGTTCAGAGCGGTAGAGAGCAGCGAAAAGCAGCAGCAGCATCAGCAGCAACCTAAAACCCTACACTGCCTCACTCTCTATACCCCAGACACCTTCTGGCGGAAACAGCAGAACAGCAGTAGAACAGCAGACTACAGGCCACAGCACAGCGAGGCGAGGGACTAGCTGCCGTGGGTGGCAGCAGGCACTGACAGCGACATGTCATGCCGTGCTCTACACTGCAGAGGCCACCTGGTAGCGCCGATTCCTTTTGCACGAGCCATAGACAACGGGCTATTAGATGGAAAACACAAGCAGCAGTTGCATCCCATGGAACCCCCCTCCTCGCCACCTCACTCCTCCTGCTCTGCAGGAGCCACCTCCTTAGCAGCCTTTCTCTTCGTACCATTGATTCGGGGCTGACAGATGGCGGCACCAGCAACACCCGTACGCCATGAAACGTCCCTCGCCCCCCATTCCTGCCACACTGCGGTCGCCATTTGCCAGGTGCTGCTAGCTCCACAGTGCCGTCCCTGTTGCTGCCTGCCCTCGCCACACCACTCGTAGGGGCCCCTCCTGGTCGCAGGCACTTCTGACTAGACACTACTTCCCTTCACACACACGTGTCACGTGCGTACCATACCATAGAGGAGGGGCTGTAAGATGGAGGCACCAGCACCACCCGCGCAGCATGAAACGCCCCTCTCCCCCTGTTCCTGCTGCACTGCTGTCGCCATTTGCCACGCGCTGCGCTGCGAGCTCCACCATGCCGTCCCTGATGCTGCCCTCGCCCCGCCACTGATAGACGACTTTTGAGACGTCTCAAAAGCCCTCCCGGTCGTCCCTCTCACCCCGTCCCTCTCGCAGTGCAGGCAGGCACAACTCAACGGACTTAGCACCTCCCGTTCACTACACGTACGTACCATGGAATTTGGGCTGTCAGATGGAGGCACAAGCAACACCCGCGCCCCGTGAAAAGCTCCTCGGCCCCCATTCCTGCCACACTGTTGTCGCCATTTTCCAGGCGCTGCCAGCTCCACCGTGCCGTCCCGGTTGCTGCCCTCACCCCGCCACTCATAGGAGCCCTCGGGAAGGAAATGGCCCACTGTGGCGCTCGCTGTGAGGTAGTCTGGTGTGAGCACCCACCTGGGGTGGATGGAGGGCATATAGACAGAAAGGCGATGAGAGGGCGAGGGTGAGTTAGTGCCGTCCCTGTTGCCGCCCTCGCCCCGCCACTTGTAAGGGCCCTCCAGGAGGAAACGACCTGCTGCTGCACTGGCTGTGAGGTAGTCTGGTGTGAGCACCCACCTGAGGTGACGGTGTGGGAAGGGAATGGAAAGACGGTGGTTAGAATTAGAATGGGGAGATGACGATGAGAGGGTAAGGGCCGCTCTTGTTGCTGCAGTCATAGGTGAGGATGAGCAAGGCAGCAACAGTAATGAGCACTGAGCAAGGCAGTAATGAGCTTCTTCAGTGCGCTTGAGGGGCGGGGGCAGGATGACATGCGTGGACTTGGGGTGAGCAGTGGAGATCGGGTGAGGAGCGGTGCAAAGGGGTGAAAACAGGTGCATGCACCCACCGGCCAGCAGCCAGGGCAGCAATGAGCTTCTCAGTGCGCTTGAGCGGCGGGGGCAGAATGACATGCGTGGCCTTGGGGTGCCACTGCAGCTCCGCTCCCTCCCCCCTCTCGCCCCTCCTCCCCCCTCTCCCTCCCTTGCCACCCCTACCACCAGCACCACCACCAGCACCAGCACCACCACCACCAGCGGCAGCATCAGCAGCAGTGATCCCTGCCTCGCCACACACGCGCCCTCCCAGTCGGGTGACAATGGCCCTCAGCTGCCCCTCACTGCGAGACGATCCCCCCAGCAGGAACCACCGTTCTCCACCCCCCCACATGCTCATCTCCGCCCCTCCCTTGCCTCCACTGCCCTCTACCTCGCCCCGTTTGTGCCCCTCTTTTGTTGCTGCCACAAGGTCTCGTTTCTGCCCGTCTGCCTGGCTGCAGCTCTTGCTGCTGGCACGACCACCAATGCCGCCACCACCAGCAGCAGCAGCATCACCAGCGCCACCACCGCTGCGACTGGGGCTGGAGCTGCTGATTGGCTGGAAAAACCGAGTGATTGGCGTCAGGGTATCAGCGCGGGCCTTGGTAGCAGTGGGCTTGGTGGTTGGCGCAGCAGGCTTGGTGGTGGGAACAGGCTTGTCAGTAGCAGCAGGCTTGTCAGTAGCAGCAGGCTTGGCAGTAGGGGCAGGCTTGGCAGTAGCAGCAGGCTTGGCAGTAGGGGCAGGCTTGGCAGTAGCAGCAGCTTTGGCTCTAAGAGCAGGTTTAGCAGTAGAAGCACCCCCTTTCTTGCGTGCACCTTTCTTCTCTGCGCTCTCCTCTTCCTCTCCTCCCGAGCTCCCACTCACTCTCTTCCTTCCTCTGCTCTTCACACCCCTACCACTGCCCTCCTCTGCCCGCTTCCGGCCCCTCTTCCTACCAGTCCCAGCAGCTTCGGCCCTTGCACCCACACCAGCCCCGTCCACAGCTGCAGCAGCAAGTTCTCTTTTGCGTGAATTTTCACCCAACCCTTCCTCCTCACCGTGAACGTCCTCCTCTCTCACAATGTCCTCCCTACCCTCAGCGTCCTCCCCGCCTCCCTGCAATATCCCGACCTCATGATCACTCTCCTCCCCATGCACTACCACAACGGCATTATCACTCTCTCCCGCAACTCCTAACTCTTCATCACTCTCCCCCCCCACCTCTACCTCATTATAACCACCTATCGCATCAGCCTCCATCCATGCCTCCATGCCCTCCTCATTATTATTCCCTCCCTTTTCCCTGTCTTCTGCGCGTCTGCGTTGTCCCTCGCTTCTGCCACTCTCAACACACTTCTTCTTCCCACCCCGCGTGTCTCCAGCCGTCCCAGACTCATTTTTCCTCCGCTTTGCAGCAGCAGCAGCAGCAGCAGCAGCAGCAACATCTGCCTTGCCTCTACCGCCCCTACCTTTCCCCTTCACCTCTTCTCCCTCGCCCTCCCTACCCTCTGCATCTCCATTTGCCTCTTGCTGCTGCTTTACCCTCTTGAGGCGCTTCAAAACCCTCTGCTGCTGCTGCTGCTGCTGCTGCTCTCTCTCACCTTCTTCCTCCCATCCGCCCTCGCTCCTTTCAGCATCTAAGTCGCCCTGTTGCTCCTGCTGCTGCAGCCCTCTCACATCTTCACCCCCCAGCTCGTCCACTGCACACACCATCCTTCGTTCCGCTCTATTCTCTTCCCGCTGCTTCCCATATCTCAACGGATCTTCTCGGCGTTTAGTTCTCAACTCCCTTGCCCTCTCCCTCTCCTCGCCAATCCTACGCACATTCTCTTCCCCAGCTGCCGCACCGCCCCCCAACTCCCCCCGTCCCTCTCCACCGCATCTCACCCCTTCATTCATCTCACCCATCCAAACCTCCCCTTCCTCCACCTCCCTCCCGTCCACCTCCTCCTCATCCCTCCACCTATTCCCCTCTCGTCGCTCACTCCCCTTCCGCTTCTTCCTTCCGCTATCCCTCACCTCTTGCTCTGCCTTCGCACTCTCCCCCAGCTCCCCTTCCTCTCCGCCCTCTACCATCAACGGCAGCGGCCCATCCTTCTTCCTCTCCACACCTCTGCCGCGTCCCCTGCATCCCTCTCTCCCCCTTCCTCGTCCCCCTTTCTTCCCCTTGTCACTGCCCTCACCCTTTACCAACCCCTTCCCACTCACTTCCTTCTCAAGATCAAGATCCGCCTTCCCAACATTCTCCTTCCCTCCTGCCGGCCTTCTCCGGTGGAAGGTTTTGACCAATGGGGAGGGAGCCACGTGGCCAATGACCACATCGCCCTGCAGCCAATCAGGAAGAGAGGAGACCGTCGGCCCGTCCCCATCCCCATCTCCCTTACAAGCATCCTCGTTTTCCTTGCCTTTGCCAGCACAAGCCCCATCCTCGCTGCTACTATCTGCTTCATTACCATCATTACCACAATGAACAGGCTTGTCAACAAGTTTATCACAAACAGCATCAGCCTCACTCTCTCCATCTTCCCTCGCATTTCCCCCATCACTGTTCCCCCCCACACGACTCCACCACCCTCCATTTCTACCTCTCCCTTCAATACCACAGCCTGCCCTCACACCGCCTGATTCCCCCTCAGTCCCTCCTTCCGATGCACCACCCCCGCCCCCTCCTCTCAACGCAACACCCTCGTCATTCCCCCCTTCCACTGCACCATCCTCACTCCCCTCTCCCGTTGCATCACCCTCCTCCTCTCCCATTACATCACCGTCCTTCCCTCCTCCCACCACCATCGCATCACTGCCATCGTCACTGCCACCTGTACCCCTCTGCACCGCACCAACCCTCGTTTCCCCACTGCCGCCTCTCTGTTCTGCTACTCCCAGCCTCCCACCAGCAAGAGCGCTGCTGCCTCCCAGCTCACCACCACTCACCAGAGCCCCCCCCGGATTGCCACCCCCCACGCACCTACCAGCAGAAGCAGCACGGCCGGAGCTGCAGCTCAGTCCGCCCATATCCATTGCCATGCCTATCCCCGCATGCATGCCAGTCAAGCGCAGAGACTGTGAGGGCAGCTCGGTTGGCAAAGGTACTGCTGCTGTTTGACCAGGTCGATCCTCTTGTTCTTCGTGCTGCTGCTGCTGCCGCTGCTGCTGGTAAGCATTGGTTTGCAATATTCTCTCGGGCACTGAAACTTGCCCATTCCCAGTGCCAGTTGCCACGTCAGCCAGGCCACCTGCCATGCTAGCCACGTCACCAGCTGCATCCGCCACGTCAGCAGCAGCAGTTCCTTGCCCACTTGCCTGCAGTGGACTCATCACTCCAGCTGTGACACGCTCGGCTGTAGCAAGCTCGGCTGTAGCACGCTCGGCTGTTTTGGCACGCTCGGCTGTAGCACGCTCGGCTGTAGCCAAGTTCATGCCCAGGTGATGACCACCTGTAATCAGCGCAGCACTGGCGGCAGCACTGACCGCAGCAAACTCTGCCATGGCAGCACCACTTGCTGCTGCAGCTGCTGCCGGCGGCGCTGTTTGGCCCACTCCGGGCATGCGTTTGACTTCATCACCACCTGCCACACCACCTGCCACACCACCTGCCACACCACCTGTCACACCACCTGCCACACCACCTGCCACACCACCTGCCACACCACCTGCCACACCACCTGCCACACCACCTGCCACACCACCTGTCACACCACCTGCCACACCACCTGTCACACCACCTGCCACACCACCTGCCACACCACCTGCCACACCATCTGCTGAACTGTCTGTCGCCTCGCTCACAGCATCAAAGACGCCCCGGAGGTTCACAACTACGCCCTCTGCACCAGGCGACTGCTCCCCGGCCTCACACCCCTCGCCCTCCCCACCATGCCTCACTCGGCCTTCCCAGCCCTCCCCAGTTTCCACGTCATCTAGTTGCTCCCACATGTCCCCCTGTCCCATCTCCTCTCCTTCCTTCCCTTTCTCACACCACTCTTCCCCTCGCTCCTCCCCCTCCTCCTCCTCTCCCTCCTCTCTCTCCACCTCCTCTCCCTCCTCTCTCTCCTCCTCAGTTTCCGCATCCTCCATGTCCTCTTGCCCACAAAGCACCTCCTCCCCTTGCTCCTCCCCTTGCTCCTCCCCTTGCTCCTCCCCTTGCTCCTCCCCTTGCTCCTCCCCTTGCTCCTCCCCTTGCGCTTCCCCCTGCTCCTCTCCTTCCTCATCTCCTCTCTCTTCCCCTTCCTCTTCTTCCTCCCCCTCTTCCTTCATAACCTCATTACGCTCCTCCTCCCCCTCCACACGCTCCACCACCCTCCATTCCTCTCCTCTACCCGCCTCTCCCACTCCCTCCTCTCGCCTCATACCACCTCCACAGTCTCTCCCCACCTGTTCATCTACCTTCCCAGACCCCACCCCACCTCCCTCTGGTCCCCAGCCCGCCTCTCCCACTCCCTCCCCTCGCCTCATACCACCACCATGTTCTCTCACCACTTGTTCAACTGCCTTCTTAGACCCCACCCCACCTCCCTCTCGTCCCCCCTCCGCCTCTCCCACTCCCTCCTCTCGCCTCATAGCACCACCATGTTCTCTCACCACGTGCTCAACTGCCTTCCCAGAGCCCTCCCAACCTCCCGCTCGTCTCCTGTGCACCTCACAGCCTGCATCAACTGCCCCAGACTTCTGTATTCTCACACTTCTCAACACACCCCCCTCCACCTCTCCTCCACCCCCCTCCCTCACACCACCTCTCTCCCATGAATGTGCACCGCCCGTCCTCTCCGCTTCCGTCCCTCCCTCACAATCCACCGCCCCACCTGCCGCATTGCCCCTTCCTTCTCCCACAACAGCAGCAACAGAACCAGAAGCAGCAACTGCATTAGCAGCACAAACAACAGGCATGGCATGGGTGACAGGAGTGGCGCGTGTGGCGTGGTTGGTGTGATCAGCTGTCCTCCCCACCACAGCCTCAACTGCACTCTTCTCTACCGAGCCTCCGTTGGCAAGTGCAGCACCAACTTTATCAGTCGTAGTAACTCGACCCCCCTCAGTATCACCACGTGCGTTGGCAGCAGCATGATCCCTTGAACCACAGCCACTAGCGACACCAGCTCCCACGCAACGCTCTGAACGCAAACCCACAGCGCCGCCTGTAGCACCATCCACTGCACCAGCCGCAGGACCAGCAGCAGCACAGCCTGAAGCAGCAGCAGCAGCAGCACCGGCAGCATCTCTTGGAGTGCAGGGCGTGGTGGCAGAGGCCTGGGAAGCAGCAGCTCGCAGCTGCGCCTCCACCGCTGCAGCTGCCGCTGCTGTCGCCTCCTGCAGCCGCTGCAGCTCTGCCTCCTCTCCACTGGTGTGCACAAGCCGCACCAATGGGACGAATGGGACATGGGAAGCATGTAAAAGAATGAGAGAATGCATGGCATGGCATGACTGCTGTTGCCTCCTGCAGCCGCTGTAGCTCTGCCTCTTCCCCACCGTAGCGAATGGGAAGCATGGGACGGGAATGGTGGGAACGACAATGAGGAATGGCGGGATTGTTGTTTCTGAACCAATATTGAGAATTCTAAAAAAGGATGGGAACAGTGGACAATATTTGGCGAAGGAATGGCAAGAATGGTATTGCCTCCTGCACTGCTGCAGGCCCAGGAAGCGATGGGGGGAAGAGGTGAGCAGGAAAGAGAGATGGGGAGAATGATAAACCAGAGTCTGGCAGGGGTGGCAGGGGTGCTGCGGAAACACAGACTCTGGGAGTGCAGAGGACAAGGTGGTGGCTTATGAGATGGGTCAAAGGCGAGAGGAGGCTGGAGAGGGAGAGGTCTCGTGTTTGACCTCTGACCTCCTCTGCCTTTTGAGATTGGAGATCTCGTGTTTGAGATTGATAAAACACGAGAGGAGTGCAGAGGGAGAGCGGTGGCAGCAGATGCGTGCATCGCATCGCACCTGGCAGAGTATCGTTCCTCCGGCACTCCCTCAAGCTGTGATGTGACTTTTGAGTCGACCCAAAGTCACTAGTGTCGCTGCCTCATTAAGTCACGGCACCTGTTTGGGGCCTACTCACCTGCGTGCATCTCACCTGGCGGAGTACCGTTCCTCTGGCACCAGCCTCCACTCCCTCAAACTGTGATGGGGAGGAGAAGAGAACAGGGATGCAGAGGGATGCACATGGGACGGATGGGGATACACAGGGAAAAATAGGGATACATAAGATGTACAGGGGGGACATGCAGCGCAAGGCAGGAGATGGACCGAAAGAGAGGGTTGGCGTGTCATAGACCACACATACAGTGCGGACAGCAAAGAAACCACAAAACGTGAAGGTATAGAGGGCAGACAGGCACAGGCGTACCGCAAACAGGATAGAGGGCAGAGCAGAGGCTCGAAAGGCGGGTCCAAGTGCACGAAGAGCCTTGGCACCTCGAACGCCCCTCCTGCCCCAAACACCTCGGATTCACATCAAGGCTCACCAGCCCTCCAGCCACATGTGGTTCACGGTGCTGAGATGGTGCATGCACCCCTGATGATTCTGAGCAACAGGCCCCAAAAGGCCCCAACAAGCCCCCTCACCCCATGCATATACGCCTCACCAGTCCTCCAAGCCACATGTGGTTCACTTCACGGTCCTGATGTGGTGCGTGCACGGTGCACCCCCGTAATTCCATCGAAGCCCTCCTCGCCCCATACACGACCCATCACACCTCATGCTCACCAGTCCTCCAGCCACATGTGGTTCACGACCCTGAGGTGGTGCCGCCGTGCCACCTCGTACTTCTTGCCTGACAGCAGGGGGGCCCACGTGCAGAGAGCAGATGGGTGGAGGGGAGAGGCTAGTGAGTCGACTAAGAATGTGATGCCGGCATCCCGCCTTGGCGGGGTGCATCACATGCGGAGGCTGGTGGGCATCCCACCTTGGCGGGGTGCATCACATGCGGAGGCTGGTGGGCATCCCGCCTTGGCGGGGTGCATCACATGCGGAGGCTAGTGGGCATCCCGCCTTGGCGGGGTGCATCACATGCGGAGGCTAGTGGGCATCCCGCCTTGGCGGGGTGCATCACATGCGGAGGCTAGTGGGCATCCCGCCTTGGCGGGGTGCATCACATGCGGAGGCTAGTGGGCATCCCGCCTTGGCGTGGTGCATCACATGCGGAGGCTAGTGGGCATCCCGCCTTGGCGGGGTGCATCACATGCGGAGGCTGGTGGGCATCCCGCCTTGGCGGGGTGCATCACATGCGGAGGCTAGTGGGCATCCCGCCTTGGCGTGGTGCATCACATGCGGAGGCTAGTGGGCATCCCGCCTTGGCGGGGTGCATCTCATGCGGAGGCTAGTGGGCATCCCGCCTTGGCGGGGTGCATCACATGCGGAGGCTAGTGGGCATCCCGCCTTGGCGGGGTGCATCACATGCGGAGGCTAGTGGGCATCCCGCCTTGGCGGGGTGCATCACATGCGGAGGCTAGTGGGCATCCCGCCTTGGCGGGGTGCATCACATGCGGAGGCTAGTGGGCATCCCGCCTTGGCGGGGTGCATCTCATGCGGAGGCTAGTGGGCATCCCGCCTTGGCAGGGTGCATCACATGCGGAGGCTAGTGGGCATCCCGCCTTGGCGGGGTGCATCACATGCGGAGGCTAGTGGGCATCCCGCCTTGGCGGGGTGCATCACATGCGGAGGCTAGTGGGCATCCCGCCTTGGCGGGGTGCATCACATGCGGAGGCTAGTGGGCATCCCGCCTTGGCGGGGTGCATCTCATGCGGAGGCTAGTGGGCATCCCGCCTTGGCGGGGTGCATCTCATGTGGAGGCTAGTGGGCATCCCGCCTTGGCGGGGTGCATCACATGCGGAGGCTAGTGGGCATCCCGCCTTGGCGGGGTGCATCTCATGCGGAGGCTAGTGGGCATCCCGCCTTGGCGGGGTGCATCACATGCGGAGGCTAGTGGGCATCCCGCCTTGGCGGGGTGCATCACATGCGGAGGCTAGTGGGCATCCCGCCTTGGCGGGGTGCATCACATGCGGAGGCTAGTGGGCATCCCGCCTTGGCGGGGTGCATCACATGCGGAGGCTAGTGGGCATCCCGCCTTGGCGGGGTGCATCACATGCGGAGGCTAGTGGGCATCCCGCCTTGGCGGGGTGCATCACATGCGGAGGCTAGTGGGCATCCCGCCTTGGCGGGGTGCATCACATGCGGAGGCTAGTGGGCATCCCGCCTTGGCGGGGTGCATCACATGCGGAGGCTAGTGGGCATCCCGCCTTGGCGGGGTGCATCACATGCGGAGGCTAGTGGGCATCCCGCCTTGGCGGGGTGCAACACATGCGGAGGCTAGTGGGCATCCCGCCTTGGCGGGGTGCAACACATGCGGAGGCTAGTGGGCATCCCGCCTTGGCGGGGTGCATCACATGCGGAGGCTAGTGGGCATCCCGCCTTGGCGGGGTGCATCACATGCGGAGGCTAGTGGGCATCCCGCCTTGGCGGGGTGCATCACATGCGGAGGCTAGTGGGCATCCCGCCTTGGCAGGGTGCATCACATGCGGAGGCTAGTGGGCATCCCGCCTTGGCGGGGTGCATCACATGCGGAGGCTAGTGGGCATCCCACCTTGGCGGGGTGCATCACATGCGGAGGCTGGTGGGCATCCCACCTTGGCGGGGTGCATCACATGCGGAGGCTGGTGGGCATCCCGCCTTGGCGGGGTGCATCACATGCGGAGGCTAGTGGGCATCCCGCCTTGGCGGGGTGCATCACATGCGGAGGCTGGTGGGCATCCCGCCTTGGCGGGGTGCATCACATGCGGAGGCTGGTGGGCATCCCACCTTGGCGGGGTGCATCACATGCGGAGGCTGGTGGGCATCCCGCCTTGGCGGGGTGCATCACATGCGGAGGCTAGTGGGCATCCCGCCTTGGCGGGGTGCATCACATGCGGAGGCTAGTGGGCATCCCGCCTTGGCGGGGTGCATCACATGCGGAGGCTAGTGGGCATCCCGCCTTGGCGGGGTGCATCACATGCGGAGGCTAGTGGGCATCCCGCCTTGGCGGGGTGCATCACATGCGGAGGCTAGTGGGCATCCCGCCTTGGCGGGGTGCATCACATGCGGAGGCTAGTGGGCATCCCGCCTTGACGGGGTGCATCACATGCGGAGGCTAGTGGGCATCCCGCCTTGGCGGGGTGCATCACATGCGGAGGCTAGTGGGCATCCCGCCTTGGCGGGGTGCATCACATGCGGGGGCTAGTGGGCATCCCGCCTTGTACTTCCTGCCTGGCAGCAGACGGGCACACATGCAGAGCGGACACGTGGGGCAGGGAGGCAGACGTGCAGAGGGGAGAGTGCGTGGTGAGGACATGCGTGGTGGGGACATGCGTGGTGGGGACATGCGTGGTGGGGACATGTGCGGCGGCTATTTCAGTCGACTCATCACGTGTCGCAAGCGCGCCACCTCGTGCGTGTTGCCTGGCGGCATGGGATGGGTGGGAGGTGGGCAGGCAGATGTGGGGTGGAGGCAGACGCAGGGGGGACGGGCCAGATGCGGGGGGAGGGGCCAGATGCGGGAGAAGGGGCCAGATGCGGGGGGAGGGCAGATGCGCACACACACACACACACATACACAAACGCACGTGCATACGCACCACCCACCCACACAGCCAGCCACCCAACCATCCACCCAACCATCACGCTCCAAGCCCTCCTCCCTCCCCCCACCCAAACCAAAACTCCACACAAACCTGTGAGCTCGTAGCAAACGAGGTGCGTGCATACAGCAGTGTGGAGCTCCCCTGAGAATCCTGCACCCATCTGCTCCGCCATGGCCTGAACAAGGGGGCGGAGAGCGAAAGGAATGAAGACATGAGTGCAGTGCGGTGCAATGCAGTGCAGTGTAGTGTGGTGCAGTGCAGTGCACACGTGAGATGATGCTGATACTAGAAATGATGCTCACATGAGAGCAGATGCTTCCATACGTGCATAAAACTCACTATGTAACCCTATGGAGTGTCTCGTTATAAACAAGTTTCACCTCCACAGTCCACCTCGCGCCTCATGCTACCACTTTAGCCTGTGAGGCTCGTCACCAGCCACTTGGCGCCTGAAATGCCACATGCTCTGTATACTCACTAAGAAGTACCTGAGTACCTCGTTATAAGCAGTTTCAATCCTCACCACCACATCTCGCCGCAAGCTGCCACTGTAGCCTGTGACGCTCAGCACCAATCGCTCGGCACCGGGAATGGCTCCTTTGAACCGCTTCGGGCGATGCAGCACCTGTGGTGGCAGGTGGATGTGGCATGTGGAGAGTAGAGGGGGAGAGAGACAATTCAAGGTGCAACAGGTGGGACAGGTAGGAAGGGGAGGGTGGGGGTTTATCACAGCAGCAGCCGCTTGGCACCGGGAATGGCTCGTTCAAATTGCTTAGGGCGATGCAGCACCTGAGGCGGCAGGCAGGTGGGTGGGATAGGTGGAGTTGGAGACAAGTCAAGATGCAACAGGTGCAACAGGTGGGACAGGTAGGAGGGGGAAGGTTACCACAGCACCAGGTGCTTGGTACCGAGAATGGCTCATTCGAAGTGCATGGGTCGATGCAGCACCTGAGGTGACAGGCAGGTGGGGTAGGAGGAGTGAAGCGGTGGAGAAAAACATATCAAACTGTAACACTTGGGACAGGTGGGCGGGCGGCGGGGGAAGGAAGGGCAGCACAGTGCCAGCCTTGGGGCACCGGGACTGTCTCCTTTGAACCGAATTGGGCAATGCAGCACCTGGGGTGACAGGAAGGAGGGGTAGGTGGGGTGGCGGAGAGAGGCGAATCACAGGTGGGCCAGGTAGGAAGCAGGGGGAGGAGGCTTATCACAGGACTAGCGTAATGAGAGAGGAGCGTAACAGTTGTAGCATACCGATGAGAGGGACAGGCAGGATGCGGGAGTGGCGTACCGAGGAGAGGGGCAGGATGCGAGAGTGGCGTACCGAGGAGAGGGGCAGGATGCGGGAGTGGCGGAGGCAGTGGGTGAGCCACCTGGCAGTGACCACCACCCTGCCATCACTCTCCGCCCTCACACACAGCTCGTCCTCCTGGCAGGGGGGGGTGGGCACGCAGGGAGAGGGGGGCGGGTGGGAGGATGGATGGGATAGAAGATGGGTGGAGGGGATGGGTGGGGGAAATGGGTGAGGAAGCCGCTGTATGCATGCATGCAGTCACAGCAGCAGTGGGGCAGCAACGCTACCTTGCCGTCGCCCTCTGCTCTCATGCACACTGCACAGCGTGTCCTCCTGGCATGGAGAATGGGTGAGTCGGGAGGGTGGTATGGGTGCGGAGGAGATGAAGTAGGGCCCGTTAGAGGAGGGTGGAGCAGGTAGGTACCATGCATGGCACGGGCGAGCCATGAGGGGACGAGTGACTGCCATCTCACGCGCAGCACGCCCTTCTGGCCTGGGCTGTGGGTGGGAAGGATGGTGAGGGGGGATGATGGGTGGGGTGGGAAGGAGGCGGAATGATGGGTGGGGGGGAGTGATGAAGGGGGGTGATGATGGGTGGTGAAGCCCTTGAACGCTCTCTGCTCCCTGCACATGGAGTGTTCTGCTGGGGGGGAAGATGGGTGAGGGCTGAATGACATGGGTGAGGGCTGAATGACATGGGTGAGGGCTGAATGACATGGGTGCACATTGCAATGGGGGGTGCGGATGACTAAGGAAGGGGAGGCATCTGTAACATGTGACGGTGTGTTACTACAGTTCCAGGAATGTGTTTCGCTGTCCCAGGTAGTGCATTACCACAGTCACGGAGGGTGTGTTACCACATCCTGGTTACCACAGTGCAGGGGTGTGTTACCAAGTTGGGGATGCATTACCATGGTGAGGTCAACAACGGTCACGGGAGAGCGCGTTACCACATCATGGTTACCAACCACATAATGGTTACCAACCACATCATGGTCACCAACCACATCATGGTCACCAACCACATCATGGTTACCAACCACATCATGGTTACCAACCACATCATGGTTACCAACCACATCATGGTTACCAGTCACATCATGGTTACCAACCACATCATGGTTACCAACCACATCATGGTTACCAACCACATCATGGTTACCAACCACATCATGGTTACCAACCACATCATGGTTACCAGTCACAGTCGCACGGTGCATTACCATGGTGAGGTCATCAACGATCACGAGGGAGCAGGAGGGGTGGTAAGCGGGCAGCACCGCTCCCCCTGCGCGCCTCACATTCTCCTCAACCTGTGTGGTGGGGCAGGGTAGTAAGAGGACAGGTGTGGGTAACCGTGTAACTATGGTTTGAGAAAGAGGCACATGTGGGTAACTCATGTAATGTAACCATGGGCATAACGTGTGTGGAGGGGTCGTAACCGGGCAGCATCGCTCCCCCTGCGCGCCTCACATTCTCCTCGACCTGTGGTGGGCCGGGGACGTGCGAGGGAGTAACCATATAACCATGGGGTGCGAGACAGGGGCAGGTGTGATGAGAACAATGGAATGGTGACTGTCAGGGGAGTGCGAGGAGGGATGTGAGTAGCAACGTATCCATGGTGCGAGTCACGGGCAGGCAGTTGTGGAACGAATGGGTTGGTGACTGCCAGGAGAGTAAGTTCAGAAAGGAAAGGTGGCATTAGGAGCGACCTGAGAGGCCTACACCAGAGAGGGGTTGACCAGGGGAGTTGGGCTAAGAGGGGTTGACTAGGGGAGTTGGGCTGAGAGGGGTTGACCAGGGGAGTTGGGCTGAGAGGGGTTGACCAGGGGAGTTGGGCTGAGAGGGGTTGACCAGGGGAGTTGGGCTGAGAGGGGTTGACCAGGGGAGTTGGGCTGAGAGGGGTTGACCAAGGGAGTTGGGCTGAGAGGGGTTGACCAGGGGAGTTGGGCTGAGAGGGGTTGACCAGGGGAGTTGGGCTGAGAGGGGTTGACCAGGGGAGTTGGGCTGAGAGGGGTTGACCAGGGGAGTTGGGCTGAGAGGGGTTGACCAGGGAGTTGGGCTGAGAGGGGTTGACCAGGGGAGTTGGGCTGAGAGGGGTTGGGCTGAGGGGAGTTGGGCTGAGAGGGGTTGACCAGGGGAGTTGGGCTGAGAGGGGTTGACCAGGGGAGTTGGGCTGAGAGGGGTTGACCAGGGGAGTTGGGCTGAGAGGGGTTGACCAAGGGAGTTGGGCTGAGAGGGGTTGACCAGGGGAGTTGGGCTGAGAGGGGTTGACCAGGGGAGTTGGGCTGAGAGGGGTTGACCAGGGGAGTTGGGCTGAGAGGGGTTGACCAGGGGAGTTGGGCTGAGAGGGGTTGACCAGGGGAGTTGGGCTGAGAGGGGTTGACCAGGGGAGTTGGGCTGAGAGGGGTTGACCAGGGGAGTTGGGCTGAGAGGGGTTGACCAGGGGAGTTGGGCTGAGAGGGGTTGGGCTGAGGGGGGTTGGGCTGAGGGGAGTTGGGCCGAGAGCACGCCTAGAGCGGGCCCTTGGCTCTGAGCTGAGAGCACGCCTATCGCGGCCCGTCGATCATTCTGACAGCCCCATTCAACCTCCTTGATGACGCCGGCAGACGAGCCGCTCAGCGCGACCCTTGGCTCTGAGAGCACGCCTAGAGCGACCCTTGGTTCTAAGAGCACGGCTGGAACGACCCTTCACTCTGAGATGAGATGGCCCCCACTCAACCTTCTTGATGACGTCAGCGGACGAGCCGCCCACCGCGACGCGCATTCCCGTGAGGAACAGTCCAGACTCGCCCGCCCGGACCACCACTGCCTCTGCCTGCGCCATCTGAGCTCGCACCTTCCGCGCGCCTTCCAGCGACGCAACCATCGCTGCTCCGCTCCCTCTTGCTTCGCTCCCTCTTGCTTCGCTCCCTCTTGCCTGAGGCAAGCAGCGAGAGAAAGCGGTGAGAGCATGCAGCGGTCG